AATAAATAATGTGTGACATAAAGCCAATCTAACCAGGGCCGGCCGCTGATAAGATGATTGGATGCAGAGAGGAGCTGCGGCTCTGCGCTACACAAACTGGGGAATTAGAGGTGCAAATGACACTAGACACTATATATATATATATTATATATATATATATATATATTATATATATATATATATATATGCTACCTAATCACATATATCTGCACATCATCTAAATCCCACCACTATATATATATTTTGTATGTATATATATATATATATATATATATACATATATATACATATATATATATATATATATATATATATACATATATATATATATATATATATATATGTATGTGTAGATAGATAGATAGATAGATAGATAGATAGATAGATAGATAGATAGATAGATAGATAGATAGTTTATAAAAAGTCTAAGTATTTTTTATTTTTTCCACCGTCCCATATAGATAGATAGGTCGTATATAAATAAATATACACATCTGCAGATCATCTGAGTATATATCACTGTCCCATATAGATGCCTACAACAAGGATCATCAGGGTATGCTGTATGTCACCGCCTCATAAAGATTAATAAGGACATCTGAGTATATAACACCTTGTCATATAATGAAGTCATTATACACATCTGAAGATCAGCTGAGCATATAGCCCCATCCTATTTTAATCATTATATACATATATGCAGACCACATAGCCCCAACCCGTATTAATAATTATACACATCTGCAGATCATCTGATCATATAGCCCCATTCTACATGAATTATTATACATATCTGCAGATCACCTCGTATAGCCCCATTCTACATGAATTATTATACATATCTGTAGATCATTTGATCATACAGCCAGATCATATATTGATCATTATATACACATCTCCAGAACATCTGATCATACAGCCAGATCATATATTAATAATTGTACACATCTGAGCATATAGCCAGATCCCATAGTAATAATTGTACATAGCTGCAGATCATCTGAGTATATAGCACCGATGCTATATAAAGTATACACATCTGTAGAACATAGATGCATAGGTCCCCATCCTATATTAATAATTATACACATCTGCAGATAATCTGAGTATATCGCACCGACGCTATATAAAGTACACCCATCTGTAGATCATATAAGTACATGACCCCATCCTATATTAATAATTATACACATCTGCAGATAATCTGAGCATATAGCACGGATGCTATATAAAGTGTACACATCTGCAAATCATCTGAGCACAGAGCCCCATCCTAGATTAATAATTATACAGATCTGCAGATTATCCAATCACACAACCCCATCTTACATAAATAATTTATACATATTTGCAGATCATCTGAGTGTATAGCACCAATGATTTATAAATTATACACATCTACAGATAATCTGAGCATAGAGCACCATCCCATATTAGTAATTAGACACATTTGCAGACCAGTAGATCATGTAATCCTATTCTATATTAATAATGATACAAATCTGCATATCAGCTGATCATATGGTGCCATCCTATATTAATAATTATACACATCTGCAGATCATCTGAACATATAACCCCATCCTATATTAGTAATTATACACATCTGCAGATCAGCTGATCATATAGTACCTTCTTATATAGTTATACACATCTGCAGATCATCTGATCATGGGGCACCATCCTATATTAATAATTATACATATCTTCTGAACATATAACACCATCCTATAATAATGTTTATATACATCTGCAGATTATCAAATCATATTGAGCCATCCTTTATAAATTATTATACTTATCTGCAGATCACCTGATCATATAGCACCATCCTTTATGAAATATTATACACATCTGCAGATCACCTGATCATATAGCACCATCCTTTATGAAATATTATATCATCTGCAGATCACCTGATCATATAGCACCATCCTTTATGAAATATTATACATATCTGCAGATCACCTGATCATACAGTATAGCACCATCATTTATAAATCATTATACATATCTGCAGATCACCTGATCATACAGTATAGCACCATCCTTTATAAATGATTATACATATCTGCAGATCACCTGATCATACAGTATAGCACCATCCTTTATAAATTATTATACATATCTGCAGATCACCTGATCATACAGTATAGCACCATCCTTTATAAATTATTATACATATCTGCAGATCACCTGATCATACAGTATAGCACCATCATTTAAAAATCATTATACATATCTGCAGAACATCTGATCATACAGTATAGCACCATCCTTTATAAATTATTATACATATCTGCAGAACATCTGATCATACAATATAGCACCATCCTTTATAAATTATTATACATATCTGCAGAACATCTGATCATATAGCTCCACCCCATATTATTAATTATACACATCTGCAGATTATTTGATTGCATAGCAGCATCCTATATAAATGATCAGTTACTTATACAGATCATGTGAGCATATAGTCCCATGCTATATAAATGAATATAGACACCTGCAGCTCATGTGATCGCATAGCACCATCCTTTATAAATGATGGTCTACCTCTGCAGATCCTCTGACCATATAGCACCATCCCATATAAATGATACCCCTGTGTAGATCACCCCATCCTATATAGATGGGAAATATAATGGGTAGAGCCCAGGCACTTGTAAAACACTCGATGTAGGTCAGGATGAAATATGCAGATGATATTTGTGACTAAGCATAAATATTACGAGTTAGCCTGGAATGACACACACATTACTGCTGGGACCAGATGTTTCCGATCAGGAAGGCTTGTAGAGATCGGAGGATTAGAAGGACAAATCGTAGTAATGTGTACAGTCCCACGCGATAAAACGATTTCTAAATACTGCACAGTAAATGGAAACATATTTTCTTTATAAAAAAATAACAAAAACAAGCATAAAAGTGCTTGTACATTTTCTAACTACATCTACCCTGTAGAAAGGGCCCACAGTCAGGGAGATATGTGACAAACCAACGATATTGGAACGACCAAGTCATTTAAAAAAAAAAAAAGGAATTTGCAATAAATGAAGTCCTTGCTGCTCACTTTAATAGCATCTCGTTTTAATACTATTAGCTAAGCAACGAAAGTGTTACAGACAAGGCTCTCTGTGTCCAAAGGAGATGGGGGGCCAGGAATTCCTAACTAATCCAGATTTTACAAATCAAAAGGACAGTAGGAGGGGAATTCACTGCAGGGACCCTTCTCCATCCCAAACAGCAATGTAAATAAACCTGGCATTAGCCAAACAATTAATAGACTCTTCTCATGTAGAACTCAATTAGAAAGCTGTTTCTCCACCCAAACGGCCCTCCCAGCATCACCTTTTCAATATTTAATTACTTAACACTTTCTAGAACCATGGCAAAAAAACAGCTCCCCCAAACTCTATGGGATTAATAATGTGGAACTGAAGAGTTATTTGTAGGATGATCATCGGAGCCTTTGTTGTCTTTTATCACTAATGGCTAAAGTGATAGCAGTCCTGATTACAGGGGCTGGCCAATGAGGGGTTAATGGAGTCCTGGATAAATGGAGCACACTGCAGGCTGCACACACACAAACACACACACCACTTACTAGGTCTGGGGTCCAGCCAGGGAGAAAGCACCTTGTACAGTGGTATAGGCAATAGAATGGATGCTAGGGCCAAAAATCTGCAGGTCAGTAGAAAACCGGTGGGGAGGGAAGAAGGTTACTGGAGCGAAATTATAAATGGATTGAAGAGTAAATAGCAGGCTTATTTTCTAAAGGCTGTGTGCCCAATACACGCTATTTATTTTTTTTTTATACAACTAAAATCACCAATATACACACACAAGTTAGTTAAAAAAAATAATCAAAGGGAGGAACAAAAAAAAAATAAAATAAAAAAAAAAAATATATATATATATATAAAATAATGTGTGAGATAAAAAATACATATGTACACATTTTGATGACTGTCCATATATTTAAACAGGTAGAAGAAGGTCAATCTTTTGGAGGAATGTCTGTGATTGCAGGCACAGGAGTAGTGTTGTCCAGAATGGGGTGGTAATTCTCCTATTCTACATGACAAAGGTGATACTTTAGACAGAGGTGTCTCCCTGCAATAGAAATGCTTAGTGGCCCCTTTTCTATAGATCTATTGTCCCCCCCTCCAACGCTCTAGGCTTACCATCTTCCCAGAAAACAAAACAAAAAAAAAATGTTCCCCATTTTCAACTCAACTCTCTGTTTTCAGGGTGTATTTGAAAACAAATGAGTTTCAATGCTCCCTTATACATGCAAAGCCCAGCCCTCATTGTGTTTTTAATGTGAGCTTGGCTGACCCTCAGCTCAAGTTGCAGGATCATCCCTCTGCCTCCCCCCCCTCCCCCCCCAATGACTGGCAGCATCACAAGTCTATATAAGAATCATTGACAGATCGGCAAATCGCAAAAGATTCCTCCTTGATGGCAAGTGTGATCTCCAAGCAGAGGCTATGCTATCCCCCCTCTTCAGTGCCAGGGACCATTTCCTAGCCAATGTAGTCGAGATATAAATTAACTGGTAGCTATGGCTACTGATTGCTGATTGGCTGCCAGCGTGTAAACGTGCACGGGGACGTCACCAAATCTGAATAAGGATGCGCGAATTGCCAAGCCTGGCACACAAAGCTGATTATGGGGCATAGAGGTGGAGTTGGAGAAAGTGCCATTTAGGAGATTTCTCTGCATCCAGACAGGAAGTTTCTTCTGCATCCCTCTTGTTGTTGTTTACTCTTTTTATTATTGTTATTATTAGTGACATTTAGAAGACTTTTCTCCGCACCGGATGAGAAGGTCAGGAACCCGTTTGACTTCGGGCACCCAGGTTGCTGTTTTTGGGGAGAAGCCCCCCGTTGTCCTACCCCATCGAGAGACTGCTCAGGGGACAGTGCTGCGGCCGCCGCTTCGGGTATATGTGGACTGCTGTGGGGACATCAAGGTGCTCCGGCTGAATCATGATGGTCCATTGCGCTGGCTGCGAAAGGCCCATCTTGGACCGCTTTCTGCTCAATGTGCTGGACCGGGCCTGGCATGTCAAATGTGTCCAATGTTGTGACTGCAAATGTAACCTCACCGAGAAGTGCTTCTCCAGGGAAGGCAAACTCTACTGCAAGACTGACTTCTTCAGGTACGAACCTCGCATTGGCCCTTATTGTCATTGCTCGGTGCCAGGGTGCCAAGGTCTACCTTCAGGCTGCCAAGCTCTCCCTTTGGATCTGGTACCAACCCAACATACTGATGGGTGCCAGGGTGTACGAATTGTTCCTGACAGGTCAATTACTTCTTTATTGCTTTTATATACCTGGCAATTGTTTAGAGGTGTACGATTCTCTGAATGAAGGATTGGGAGGTGAAAGGGGCATCAGCACTGGGGTGAGAGAACCCCCATCTTTCTATATTCTAATATGACCTGTATTATTAGATCATAGGGGAGGCTGTGATGTAATAATATGACTTGTGTCGAAAATCCACACACAAGGGCAGCAGAATGCTTTTTATTGGATGCGAATATTTGATCTTGTGTACATACAAGGTGTGTGTGTGTTTATATGTATATGTGTGTGTATGTGTATATATATATATATATATATATATATATATATATATATACATTCGCTATAATACTGTATTATCTTGCCTGTGTGTCTAAAAAACAAAATACATATTTTTTATTTACTAATTCGCTGTAATATTGTATTGTCTTGCCTGTGTGTATTATATATATATATATATATATATATATATATATATATATATATATATATATATATATATATACATGACAATACAGTGTTATAGCGAATTAGTAAATAAAACCCCACAAAGTGTATGTATGTATCAATTTGTATTTATTTATATTTACAAGTTCGGTAAAAAAAAACCCACAAAAAGTGTGTGTGTGTATCTGTATATATATATATATATATATATATATATATATATATATATATTATATTATATATATATATACATGAACATGTGTGTGTATATTACATATTTTTTTTCGTGGATTTTTACCAATTTGCTATAACACTGTATTGTCTTGCCTGTGTGTGTAGTATATATATATATATATATATATATATATATATATATATATATACATGCATATACACAGACAAGACAATACAGTATTATAGTGAATTAGTAAAAAAAAAACACAAAATGGTGTATGTGTAATATATGTGTGTGTGTGTGTATGTGTATATATATATATATATATATATATATATATATACACACACATATACATACACACACATATACATATGTATGTATATATATATAAAATTATTTTATTTTATTTTTTGGGGGGGGGCTTTTTTTTCTCATTCGCTCTAGTACTGTATTGTTTTGTGTGTGTATACATAATATACATACATATTTTATTCTTACCCTTATTTTATTCTTACCTGGCTACATTTTGCACACTGTGCTTTGGCCGGATCTGCACTTTTGCATACGAATTCGATGCGAACAATGTATTCGGCTCCAATGTCCTGGCTGGTATCATTGGAATGTCCAGGTCCTTTATGATGCAGAATGACTTACCCTGCCAGAGGGGGGCCAGGCCAGTGGCGATGTCCTGACTTCCCTTGGGCTGATTTACTATAAGGGGTTGAAAAGCTTTACACCATACGTTTTTGAGGTATTCAGTAAAACCAGTCAGTTATGTGCAGATGGAATAAGAAAACAATTTTTTTCTTTTGTAATCGGATATCGGAAGTGAATATTTACACAATTTTATTATGCGAATGTTCTCAACTCTTTTAGTAAATTGGCATCTCCATCTAGCACAAGGTTTAAAAAAAATCCCTTTTCAGGACTAGGATAGTAAATTCGGGACTTTGCTTACATCATATAGAATGTAATATATAGCTGATTTGTTTAGAGTTGGTATTTCACCGTTCCATCGTCCAGTCACCTTGGACCAAGGGCTCGGCTCACCTTTTTACTGTTTGATCAGAAGGCGGCTTTTGGGTTTAGATCAAGAAAGGTCTAATTCGGTGATTTTTTTTTTCTCCTGAAATGAATGAGTGCTTTTAATTCGTTGCTTCCTGAAAGTCTCCTCCCAACTAATGTGAAAACTATTTAGGAGCATTTAATGATTTTTGATAAGGTGTAGGTGAGCTAATTATTTTTCTGGATAAGGCAACCATGACTTATGACCTGTATTACAGTCACTAAATCAAAGTCACAGCCAACCTCAAGTGATCAGGACTTCGGGCTGTACCATGGCCACAATATGGGAAAAGAATTAAAAAAACACATTTATATATTATATATATATATATATATATATATATATATATATATATATATACACAACATTTTTCAATTAAAATATATATAATACAAATTAAAAAAACACAAATCTAAAATACTTCGAGAGTCAAAGCCATGATTTATACAATTTAAAAATGGCTCGGTGATGAGTATTGAAGAATGGTTGTAACACTAGATTAAGCGCTGAAAACATTTAAAATAAGGGCTTTTCATATTTGGACTAGTCCATCAAATTTTTTTAAACAGCCGCAACCTATGTACAACTTATATATGCCCTTCTTTTAAATGGGTTCATAGGTACAACAATATTTAGTTCAGATCCAATACTTTCTCTTTTATCAACCAAAAAACAAAATGATTATTGTAAGGGTGCGCTATTCTTTCTTTCTAACCGATAGATGAATTGGATTCAATTATTTGTTCATTATTAATCCGGTTACTATTTGGGCATCATTGTCTGTTAATATTTTTGTTCATTTCAGTGTGTGTGTTTTTTTTAATCTAATAAACTTCCCTAGGCGTGTAAACATATTTTACATTTACACATGTACAACATATATATATATATATATATATATATATATATATATATATATATATATATATATATATATATATATATATATATATAGTGTGTGTGTGTGTGTGTGTGTGTGTGTAATATTTTTCTCGAATGTCTTACCCAAAAGGTAGTGTGTGGGTTTTTTTGCCATTTCAGATCACCTTTATAAAGTATCAATGCTTTCATTAAATATGTTCACCTATTGTAAATATGTATTTCATGAAATCCTTTGTTTAATTTGATCGAGCAGAGGTTAAAAAAAAAACAGAAGACATAAAAACAGAACCATCACTGTCAATTTTTGGTTTGCCTTGGAATTTTCAGGCAGCTGAAAATCTATTGTTGGAAATGTATATTTTATATTGTATTGGGTAATTCTAGCTGATTTGGTTACAGACAGGGTTATGTTGTGGGTTAAATAGGGGAACCCCTCTGACTAGGTCAGGTTATTATGCTACTGTCCTTAATGAATGGTAAAGCTCTATCCAAGACGGGGATCAGGCTGTGCAGCAGCTTAGAAAATAGGGGACGACTCTTCAAATAGGGTTGTATGAGCTTAGTACATAGGTAACCACTCTCCCAGGTTAGTGAATGAGAGACCTCTAGTCAAGACAGGGATAGGTTTTACAGCGCTTTAATAAATAGGGGGATCACTCCAAGACGGGTTGTGTGGCGCTTCAGTTTACGGAATAGGGGAGTCCATTCCCATAAATCGGCTATGCTGTGCTGCTCCTTAATGAATAGGGGGGCCACGTTCGCAAGATGGGGTTATGATCTGCACCTTAATTAATAGGGGGCTACTTTCCAAGACTGGGTTATAGTGTTCTTGCACTTTAGTGAATAAGGAGCCATTCTCACAAGACTGGGTTATGCTGTGCAGCACCCTAATGAAATTTGGGGGGGGGGGGGGGGGCTGTGCTGCACACCTTACTGAATAGGGACCCAGTATAAAGAAATTGGGTTATGTTGTGCTGCATCTTAGGGGGACCCCTCTCCACGACAGGGTTATGTCGGTCTGCATTGTAGTGAATGGAGGCACCACTTTCTACTTTAGTTAACAGATTGGGAACTCTCCAAGACTGGGTTAGTGTTCTTGCACTTTAGTGAACAGGGAGCCATTCTCATAAGAGTGGGCTATGATCTGCACTTTTTGGTGGATATAGCAACCACCCTTCAAGATTAGAGTTAGTTCGTACTGCATATTGGAGAATATGGGGTAATGTTGTTCTGCTCCCTCATGAATGGGGGGGGGGGGGGGGGGGGCAATCACAGAAGGTGGGGTAATGTTATGCTGTACCTTAGTGAATAAAAAAACATTCTCCAAGATGGAGTTATGTTGTGCTGCACCTTAATGAATGGGGGAGGGGGGTGACTCAAAGAAGAGTTATGCTGTGCTGCACCTTAGTGAGTAGGGAACCATTCTCCAAGATGGGGTTATGTTCTGCACCTTAATGAATGGGGGGGGGGGGGGCACTCTAAGAAGAGTTATGTTGTGCTGCACCTTAATGAATGGGGAGAGGGGGGTGACTTAAAGAAGAGTTATGCTGCGCTGCACCTTAGTGAGTAGGGAACCATTCTACAAGATGTGGTTATGCTGTGCTGCACCTTAGTGAGTAGGGAGCCATTCTCCAAGATGGGGTTATTTTCTGCACCTTAATGAATGGGGGGGGGGGACACTCTAAGAAGAGTTATGTTTTGCTGCACCTTAATGAATGGGAGAGGGGGGTGACTTAAAGAAGAGGTATGCTGCGCTGCACCTTAGTGAGTAGGGAACCATTCTCCAAGATGCGGTTATGCTGTGCTGCACCTTAGTGAGTAGGGAGCCATTCTCCAAGATGGGGTTATGTTGTGCTGCACCTTAGTGAGTAGGGAGCCATTCTCCAAGATGGGGTTATTTTCTGCACCTTAATGAATGGGGGGGGGGGGGGACACTCTAAGAAGAGTTATGTTTTGCTGCACCTTAATGAATGGGAGAGGGGGGTGACTTAAAGAAGAGGTATGCTGCGCTGCACCTTAGTGAGTAGGGAACCATTCTCCAAGATGCGGTTATGCTGTGCTGCACCTTAGTGAGTAGGGAGCCATTCTCCAAGATGGGGTTATGTTGTTCTGCACCTTAGTGAGTAGGAAATCATTCTCCAAGATGGGGTTATGTTGTTCTGCACCTTAGTGAGTAGGAAATCATTCTCCAAGATGGGGTTATGTTGTTCTGCACCTTAGTGAGTAGAGAACCATTCTCCAAGATGGGGTTATGTTGTTCTGCACCTTAGTGAGTAGAGAACCATTCTCCAAGATGGGGTTATGTTGTTCTGCACCTTAGTGAGTAGAGAACCATTCTCCAAGATGGGGTTATGTTGTTCTGCACCTTAGTGAGTAGATAACCATTCTCCAAGATGGGGTTATGTTGCGCTGCACCTTAATGAATGAGGGAGGGGGCTGGCACTCTAAGAAGAGTTATGCTGTGCTGCACCTTAGTGGGTAGGAAACCATTCTCCAAGGTGGGGTTATGTTGTGCTGCACCTTAGTGAGTAGAGAACCATTCTCCAAGATGGGGTTATGTTGTTCTGCACCTTAGTGAGTAGATAACCATTCTCCAAGATGGGGTTATGTTGCGCTGCACCTTAATGAATGAGGGAGGGGGCTGGCACTCTAAGAAGAGTTATGCTGTGCTGCACCTTAGTGGGTAGGAAACCATTCTCCAAGGTGGGGTTATGTTGTGCTGCACCTTGGTGAATGAGTACTACTTGCCATAGGGTGATCTGCACGTAAGTAAATAAAGGGGAGGCACTCTTACAGAACTGAGATGCTGTTCTGCACATTAGGGAATAACTAGGTTATGTTGATATACACTCTAATGAATAGGGGGATCATTTTCAAAGGATTAGTCCAAGCAATGTCTTCTGTGCTGATAAATAAATGACATGTAGAGGAATCAGAGGAACACCTGACTCTGTATTCCAGAGCACTTAATTTTCTATGGAGCATTTGATGTCCAGCTGTGAAATGACATGTGATTCCTGCTGTCCTCCCATTGCTGACCCCCAGCTGTTCTGTATTCTTTGCAGGAGGTTTGGTACAAAGTGTGCAGGGTGCTCCCTAGGAATCTCCCCCAGTGACCTAGTGAGGAAAGCCAGGAACAAAGTATTCCATTTGAATTGTTTCACCTGTATGGTCTGCAACAAGCAGCTCTCCACCGGGGAGGAACTCTACATCATAGACGAGAACAAATTCGTCTGCAAAGAGGATTATGTCAGCACCAGCAGCCTGAAGGAGAGCAGCCTCAACTCAGGTGAGTCAGCTTGTCTTCTGCTGGACAATTGCTCCTTTGGTTGACGTTGGCATGACGTCATTGTGTTTTCCTTTTATCACTCAGTAGATGATGTGAGTGTAAGCCTCCTGTGTGAATTGGATAATCAAACTTTGCCTGGTATGTATCAAGACGCATATATGGTTTAATGCTATCGCCAGTAATGTTTGTATGGTACAAGATCAATGTGTTAAGTTAAGTGTTGAGTTTTATTTAAAGCATTTATCAAGTTGTCTCTTCCAACTGCCAATATATTCTCTGGGGTCCTTTCATCCTCTGTCTGTGAATCTCTATAACCCCCCATATATATGCACCTTGGTTGTACAGCTTCATATGAGCAGAGGTCCTGATGAGCTCATCTCAGCCAGAGCCCAGAGATACACAAACACCCCTTTTCCTTTCCACCATGCCAGCTTGTGGGTGGAACACAATCTGAACATCCCCACAAGTGCCAGACACACCTGCTTTTGTTAGGCAGCCAGGATCACTCCAGCAGCTCTGCACACCTACCCACTGCAAGACATCCCATGTGCCATTTATTAGCCTGCACAGTGCCATCAGCAAATGAGAACCTAAAAGGAAAGGGGGTGGATTGGTATAGGGCAGCTCACCCTTAAACTCAATGAAATGTTGTTTTGTGTCTGAATATACACTATAAAGCTGATCTGGTACTAGAAGCATTTTCACTGTGGCCTGTTCACTATAAAAAGATCAAGGTAATATCAACATGATTATTTTCAGTGAAGCTGACTAGGTCTTTAAAGTGAACATGTGCTAAAGTGAACTTCAATAGATCAACCCTGTTCCTTGCAAACTGATATGTACTGTTTAGTATTGGGGTTATTTCCTAAACAGGGGAGTGCAAAATCTGGTGCATCTCTTCATAGAAACCAATTAGCATCCAAGTTTTATTGTCAAAGCTTAATTGAACAAGCTGAAGATAAAAGCTGATTGTCTACCATGCACAGCTACACCAGATTCTGAGTGCACCAGTTTTAGTACATCTACCCCCATAGGCTTGATTGTATTATTTTTGTAATTCTGTCAGTTTGATCATTGCATATATATTTAATTCTTGCATGTGTATTTGTCTTTTTTTTTTTTTTAAAGACCGCTTTGCACTGTCCAGAACAGCCAGGTCAAGGCTTGTTAGTGTTTATAAAGTAAAATGTACTGCAAAATGACAGAGTAGGAAAGCAATACATTGGTGACTAATGGAAAATGCATATAATTTTTATAAATTTATTTTTTTTAGACAGGCTTGTAAAAAGGAACCACTTACAGAGTGCAGTAAATCCATGCCAAACAACCAGATATCTTGTTTCTGTTAGGACTTTAGAAAATTGCTGTCTAATTGGGATGGAATATGCATTGATGTCTTACAAAATAATTCAGTGGGGTTTTTTTAAGTCTTGATTCAGTTGTAAAAAAGTTTTAAACAAACTGGTAATTAGACACCCTCAAGTGCCTGTGCATCAGCTATCATAATCTATAGAGCACTCTATGATCACCAAAACACAGGGCTCTCTGATATGTACCTGGTGACCAGCTTCCTTGGTGGCCTTACTATTTGCTATCACAGTGAATAAAGGGAAGTCTCACTAAATAGTAAAGTGCATTCAATGTTTGGGGTGGGGAAGTGGTGGAGTTGTGGAGCTGAGGAAGCAGTAGAAGTTAGTTACTAAAATTACATTGAGACCTTTTCTAAATATTCACTTGTATGGTATGTACAATTGTATATCCCTAACAGCCATCGTACATCATATACAGTACGTATATAATCATATATCTCTAACAACCAGTTTAACAAGTAGAATTTAAGATTTCCTATAATCTTAGATAACATTGCAAGAAATCACAAGCTTTTTAAGGAAAACATATTCTATATTATCCCCATATATCAGTGGTCCCAAAACTGCATCACGTTTGCTTTCATTTAACTGGCCCTTGGAGCACTCTTACACTCACTGATACCATTGATGGGGCACAACTCCTCCCATTGACCCAAATGATGGGCCATAAAATCCCCCATTAATACCTGCAACTGACATAAATGCTGGGGCAGAATTCCTTCCACTGAGACTAACAATATGCACTTATCCTCCCTCTGACACCAAAGATAGGGCACAATTCCTTTCACTGACACCACCATTGAGGCATTATTCCTCTTACCAATACTAATTATGGGGCACTAGTCCTCCCACTGACACCCAATGACATGGCTCTATTCCTCCCATAGACACCAGTGGAGTAAATTTTCTTTCACTGACACAAACAATGGCCCACTCCTATACTGACCATGGATGCTAGGTAATTTTTCTACTCCTACTGACAAACTCTGTGGCATGTTTTACCTCTACTGACCAGCCTAAGGCATTATTTATTCCCATTGATGCTGTGGCATTTCTACTCCCACTGACCAATCTGGCCCCATAAACTCCTAAGACCATTAACTGACCATTTGTTTAAAGTTTGGGAACCCCTTCCCTTTGAAAAGAGTGACTGCATTAAAAAACTGACATCATAATTACTGCATGATGTGTTTATTGTAATTGTAGACTGCAACAGTACTGGAGTTAGCTGATTAACTACCTTCAGAAATGTTCTTTCCATTATATAGTTGTATTCTGTCTTGTCTATGATCTTTACCCCCCCCCCCCCCCCACTCCACACCCTTCTAATTTATATGCATTCACTGCAATCCGATTTTTGATATTTTTTTTTGCCCTAATCTCACCATTTGTTTTTATACTCTAATGCACTTAATCTATTTAAACAATATATTAAGCAGTAAGTAGTTTCGGGTTTATTTAACAAACTAATGTCAAGAATAGTGGTATACAGTAACTCATGGCAACCTACCTCTTTTTAGTTTTCACCACTTTAATGTAGTTAAAGCAGAAAAGAGATTCTGAATGTTTGCTGTGGGTTACAGCTTTGCATACCAGACTTTGCTTTTTAAAATCTTTATCCCATTAGTAAGGGTGCTTTCTGTACCTACAAGTGCCTGTCTTAAACAGATATACCTTGCAATGAATATTGTCCTACATGCTATCAATGTACATAATTTCATGTATGGTGTTTTTAGAGTTTTACAGCCTGTAAAATGTAAAGATTTTTGCCCTGGTTCAGTTATTTTAAAATATATATTTTTAATGCTAATATATTGGCATATACTGTAATTAAACTGATTTTTAGAAAAAGAGTTAATGTTCACTCAGAGTGAAAATTCACTTCAATTGTCCAATCATGCACATATAAGTAAACAGGAGTTTGGTTTTTCATATGACTGGATAGCTGAAATTAATCTTCAATTTTTAAAGGGAACAGTCTCAACATTTCAGTAAATCGGCCTCAATGTGTCACTGCAATAATCACTATCCTGCAATCATATCTGTTGCCTTACCATAAATTTCTTTATATTTGGCCAGTCGTTTCACTAGCAATTTATAGCTCTTTGGAGCACCTGAAATGGAAGGGGTGGGCATAATGCTCATTGAAGATAACAAAAGTATACTGCATGATCTACACTCACCAGCCACTTAGGTACACCTTGCTAGTACCAGGTTGGACCCCCTTTTGCCTTTATAACTGTCTTAATTCTTCGTGGCATGGATTCAACAAGGTGTTGGAAACATTCCTCAGATTTTGGTCAATATTGACATGAGCTACTGTTTCTATCATCTCGAACCAGTCTGCCCATTCTCCTCTGATTTCTGACATCAATAAGGCATTTTCGTCCACACAACTGCCACTGCCTGGATATTTTCTCTTTTTTGGACCATTCTATGTAAACCCTAGGGATGGTTGTGTGTGAAAATCCAAGTAGATCAGTAGTTTTCAAAATACTCAGACCAGCCTGTCAGCCACCAACAACCATGCCATGTTCAGTCACTTAAATCCCCTTCCTTCCCCATTCTGATTCTCAGTTTGAACTTCAGCAAGTCTTTACCACATGTAGATGTCTAAATGCACTGAGTTGCTGCCATGCGATTGGCTGATTAGCAATTTGTGTTACCAAGCAATTGAACAGGTGTACCTAAGTAAAGTGGCCAGTAAGTGTAGATAACTGGTTATCTGGAGCCATCATTAAACCTCAAACTTTCGGCAAAGCTGTAAGCTACATGTTAGCTTTAACAATTTTTTTTTTTTTTTTTAAATATTACCTTTTCTGGGTTTAACAAAACACCTCTTTGTGCTCTACCTACATTCTAGGTAAAGATACATATACTCTGGTTGCCAGATTGCATAGTGAGTGTTTGATATCATGAGAGATTGCAGACAGAGCTTTCAATCAGACTTATTATAGGTGAGATGAGGACCAGGAGGAATCGGAGCCTGTATATGTAATAATGAAATAGATATCTTGCCTACATATGTCATTTGTAACGTACACAAAGATAGTGAGTTGAATGGGAGAAAAATGCAGACTTGGTTCCCTCATCCTCACATTTGATGTGGATGGGGGAATCCTCCCCTTTTGAGCTATTTTTATTTTGACAGCAGGGAGCCTCTACCCTATCCTCCCCTCCACCCCCACCAGAATACACTGCTCAGTGTTGCCAGCTAAAGCCTTCAGTGCTGATCAAGCTGGGAAAATCCAACAGGGTGATTGTACAGAAATCGATGGTAGATCAACTTCTGTACAACCTCCCCATCCATAAATGGATCAAAATTCAGCCAAATCCCTGCTGAAAGAACTAAATTTCAACCCATGTACTGTACATCAGGTTAGCAAACCTTGACAGGCCAAGTCTGCGCACTACAGCTTTACAGAATTCATGTAAACCGAGTGGGACTTACCTCATCAAGGTAAGTATGCATCTGTGGAGGTAGAGGGTGGATTAGGTTAGGTAAAAGAAAAGGGGGACAAAGGATAAATGCACTTTGTTTTAAACTACACTTCTCCTTTAAGATCTGTGTCAGCAAGCTGTTAGTATAAAGAGAAGATTTATATGGCCATATGTATGGAAGTGCATTTA